TTGAACATTGGTATCATTATGCTGTTTCTTCATGCGTCTGGTATCTTGCAGTGCAATATTAGTTTTTGTATAAGTTTTGTCATCTCTAGGGTTATACTTTCTCCTCCGTATTTTAGAAGCTCGTTGGTTATTCTGTCTTAGTAATTCTCTTCGTATTCAGGTATTCAAATCTCCGTAATTCAGGTACGTTATTGTGTTGACTATTATTTTCCTTTACTTTAAACAGTTCCGTCAGGTATCTTTCCCATTCGTTTGCTGGTATAATATTGTATTCCTTGAAGACATTGATGATAATATTATTTGTAAAGAATCAATACAATCGGATATTGCAGGTACATATGAAATACAAGTGATTGGGAATTCTGACGATTCTGACAAAAACGTCCGAAGAAAAAACCAGGCAAAAATAGTAAATCCAAATTTATCTCAAGTTGTAATAACGGATATTCATTCGTGCTCAGTAGTAATTTAACATCAGTCTGATTGATATATAGACAATATAAAAGCTAATCATGTAGGCAAGTCATATATTAAAGTTTTTTTACTCTTTTTGATAAAAAAGTAATTGAGAGCATTCTATATTTTACAAATATTTATGCATCCCAGAATAACCGTCACAATTTTGAAATGAATAGCATAGATTTAAAAAAAATTACTAGCATATGTATATTATCTGGTTTACACTCTGCTTCAAGTTGATATGCATTGGTCAAAGGATGATGATAAAGAAGTGCATATTATAAGAGAAAGCATGAGCCGACATAGATTTATAATTTTAATTTGTAATAGTGAAGAAACCGCTACATCACTGTCACTTAGTATATGGACGTCAATCTAAATTTGCTTTACCAGATGAAACCAGATTCGACAATATTGGCCACATTACAAAAAGAGACGATAGTGCAAAAATGTAGGATGTACAAAAGTAATACTATTTATTTATGTAAAAAGTGTAGAATGCATCTACACTATGAATATTTCGAAAATTTTCACCTTAAAATTTAATTTAAGTTTAATATACAATATGTTCCTTTATTAAAAATTGTACTGTTTTCCTTGAAAATGAGAAAAAATCTTTTTGGTTATAAATTAGTCCTAATTTATGTGTTTTAATCCAATCTAATAAATTAATTAATTTATTAAACAATTGTCAAATTTCTCTTTGTATATTGAGCGGCCGTTAAGGGTTTAATACTATATAAAGAATAAACTGACCTCAAATTTATTTTACTTACCTCAAAACTATTTTAAAGTTAATAATACAGACTATTTAATAAATATATTCCCAAGAACACACTACGCCTATGCACATATGTATATAATCTGTAAGGAATAAACTAAGATATCATATTTCTCTCATTAACACTCTTTCTAGGAACGTAAATATATATAGACTAGCAAAATATTGATAAGTTTACCGATGTTTCAAACTATTCAATGAACTTGTCTTACTATACACTCGTGAATCGCACCAATTTATGTTGTTACGGGGACAAATTTATCTTACATGGGTTACAAATTTACATATTTACATGGGCGAAGCATACACAATAAAAATGACCCCGGTAAGAATTTACTAATGAAATTTTATATGGTTGTCGCTACTGTTTAGTTCAATTTGTAGATTAGTCACTTTAATTGAAAATTGTCCTATAAAGCAAGCTTTGGAAAAAAACACGAGTATGGAATTGTTACTCACTATCTGTGTGTAGATTTTAGATGTGCTATAATAGAAAGCCATGGTAGAATTTAATATCCCAGTATACAGTAAAATTGGTGAAATCAATGAGCAAAAATAGTAAGTTTAAGGTTTGAGTGGAGAACGAAGAATCAGGAAGTTTCATGACACAGATAGGACTTCGACAAGGAGATATCCTATCATGCCTTCTATTCGACATTGTCCTAGAAAAAGCTACTGGAGAAGCTGGAATAACAACAAGAGGAAACATTGTAAATAGAAGGATACAAATACTAACGAACGCTGATGACATCGACATCATTGCAAGAAAAAAGGCGAACTGATCCAATCGATCACGAAATTATAAGCAGCAACAATAAAAAATGGAGCTACAGATTCATACTAGTAAAACGAAGTATATGAAAGTAACAAATGATATGCAAGTAGCACTACCCGAAGATCTAACGATTAGAACATATACTTTATACTTCCGAAGGTGTGAGAGAGTTCATATATCTAGGCTCACAACCAGGATATTGCAGTAAGTGCACAAATTAACAGACTAATATATCTGTTAAATAGACCATATTTTGGATCAAAAAAACTTTTAACAACAAGCATAGTCACAAAAAGAACGAAAATATTATTATACATAATTCTTATTGCCTGCTACAGTCCGAACCCCACCGACATGCTACTAGTTTGTTTTAGAATTCTGCTGCGAGTTCCCTCTCCTCTCGTTCTTTTAAAGTGGACAGCTCCCTGATCAATTTGTATGTAAATAAATCAAACATTCTGCAGTTCATGCACACTGTTTTTCATTGTGTATGCCATAGTATTCGAAAAACCACAGTAAAGGCACTGATCGTATTGTGCCCTACTAAACCTGAAAGGAAGCTACTAAAGCAGCTATGACCTGTGAGTATTTGCGTCAGGCAATAATCAAGCTGCCTATGCCGGCAATTCACCCACTTTCGAAGGTTGGTGATTAGTGACTTTATCCACTCCGCCACATCATGTGTTGCTTCCCACTCTTGAGCCTCTTGTAAGATGGTATTTCTAACGGCTCACTTTAGACTGATGCCCGCGTAAAGGACTACAGACTGCATACCAGCGTGAAGCGCCCTCCTCGTTTTGGATTTGTATTCAACGATATTGGGCATTATCCTCCCTAGTGCAGTAATTATCTGAATAGTTCTGCGGATCACTACCTCCCCCACCCCAAATGTTCTCCCAACTCCAACCCTGGTGGAGAGTAACTCCCAGATACTTTCCGTACTTCTAGGGCGTTACTCGCGCTCCTGTACACTCAAATACAACACCTTCTCTTTTTCTGTAGCCTCTGAGTACTACAGCCACCATTTTATCCTCCGTGAGAGAAAGATCATGGTTTTTCATTCAATCATCAAGAAGAGAACATACACGCGTAATTCGAAGCAAGAGTTCCTCACTGTTCCGCGCAACCACCAGCATAGCAAGGTCGTACGTGAATGCGAAGGGGGTAACACCCTCCCCATATTCGCAGTTTAAGACCCTACCATATAGCAAGTTCCTCAGCGTCGGACCAGGACGAAACCCTGCGGGATTCTATACGTTATATACACTCTCATTATCGACCACAATTTTCCTCTTGGACCACGTTCCTTAGCTACCCCAAACAGTTCCTTGCTTTCAAAGAGCTCATTATGTGACCCCACTGCAATGGGGAAACTATATAAAACTATATGGGTTCCCTATATGAAACCATATAGGGAACCCCACGCTCAGCCTCTACTTATTTTCGCACACTATGTCACCATCCTTGTAGAACCAGTTCGGTGACTGTCTCCAGCTTCTGGTCGAATGGTATGTCATACAGAGCACAGGCGTCGAAATGATTCATTGCGATCTTATAACCTTTACCCCAGATGACCTCGTCTAACTTGTCACACAGTCCTCACCAGTGTCTCTTCTCGCTTGGATCCTCCTATTCAACCCCTTCTTTCTTACACGATGAAACGTATTCACACATAAAAATATAATTAAATACATATACCAACACGCAACGGCTAGTATTAGAGTGGGTGATGGTTAAACTCAGAAATTCCCGATACAACGTGGAGTATGTCAGGGGGACACCATATCACCGAAAATGTTCACTAAACTTTTGGAATATATATGTAAAATCTCAAAACTGACCGACAAGGGCATGAACATAAATAAAGAAAAGCTTAGCCACCTGACTTTTGCAGATGATATTGTGTTAATATCTGATAGAATAGTTGAGGTCAAAGAACTGTTAAATCAGCTCTAACTTTTCTCAGTAGAAGGAGGATTAAAAATAAATATATCTAGAACCCAAATGGTGACAAATCTTGTAGTAAACGACGATATGTGTGTTTCTATAGAGGCTTTTTAAAATCCTAATTATTTTTATACTAACTCTCTTAGTCTTAATATATTCCACAGTTTTTCATGATTTACACTATCGAAGGCTTTTTCTAGGTCTAGAATGCAGATGTATATATTTTTATTTGTGGCTAATATTTCCTCAGATATCTGTTTCATTACAAATATCCAGTTGCTGATAAGATTTTTCTGTTCTAAATACAGCTTGGGTCCCACTTATCCTCAGTCTGCTTTCAATTATTCATTCATATACTTTACAAGTCATACAAAGTAGTGAAATTGGCCTCTAATTTATAACATTGACATAATCTTCTTTTTGTAGATAGGTGTCTTCCACTTTCGAATTTGAGCCCCTAATGGCTCAGTTAAATTAGAAATTAAAAAATTGCTGGTGTCTATGCCGGGATCGAACCCAGCCGATCAGTTTAGTAAGCCAGTATCTAATCACTGAGCTACAGCATGCAAGAAAGCAAAAGACAGAAACAAAAAACAGAGAAAACTTGCAAGATTTGCAGAACATTGAATTAACAAAGACAAAATGGAGATTAGGAGACCATAAAGTACAACTCAGACGATAGATGGACTAAAATACTATTAGAATGAAGACATATGAAGAAGAACAGTCAATGGAAGATAGAAGAAGAAGAAAATAGAACATAACTAGATATAATTCTCAGAACATAAATGGTTAATTATTTACCTATCATTTACTGATTTCTTTTGAAAATATATCAATACATATAAATAAATATAGATAAATATGACATTTCCTAACTACATTTATTGTATAAATAACTTTGATAAACCAAAACAGTTGTGACAATTTTTCATGTTATGATTTTTTGCCTACTCAAGCCAAAAATACTGATATCTCCAATTAAAAATGCCGATAAAATCGTTTATTTTGATAATATAAAACAAAAATACCACTTACCGTGAGCATATTCGTCCACTGGTTTTGCCATGTTCTTAACTGTACCACATCAAGTTCGACACTGAAACGAAAAAGCACTAATCAGTCTGAATCTGATAAGCCACGATAAGGAAAATGTGAAAGCGTAAGTGGAATTTTATGGTAAAAGTTTAATAGTAGGTATGCCTACGTATTGTATTAACTTCATCACAACTTGTAATTTACATTATAATTAAACTAGTTAGATTAATTAATTAGCGCCGCCGCCGATTATTGTACTTTAGGTATTGGCACATCAATTAACATTGTTTATGCAGTTATTTTATTAACTAGTACTATCAGAATCGTATTATCCGAAACATATTTATAATAAAGTAGATGTTTTATTTGGGGGAGTTTTAGTTTTTTTTTACTCCAGTCGTCAGAAATGAAAATGCTACTAAACCTCAAAAAATCGTACGAAGAAGCTGAAGTTTGTTAAGAATGTCAATTTTGGGGTCCCAAAAAAAGATGAAGAAATATTTGCAGCGGGGAGAGGGGCCGAAAACATCGATTTGTTAAGAATCGGTAAGCCACAGAAAAAAATGTTTTAAACAAGAAATGTAGCTGAGATAATTTTGAACTAAAACGTTTATTAGCACTTTTTCTGTAGAATTATTCTCTCAAAAACAACGTTTGAATCGCCCAGCGATTTGGAATCAATTTTTAAATAAAAGTTTTATCAACTCTACGGTAAAAATTCGATATTTTTGATCAGTGTTAGTTTGATCATGCATTTTAAAGGTTAAAAGTGCAGATTTCGTATGAAGTTTTTGAGTTTTGCGCAAATAAATACAATTTCTATAAAGCTGTTAAATAATGTAACGTTGCGCGATTTTTGCAATTTTTTATTATTCTCCTGGGAGCAAGGTTTACAACTGCTTCTTCACCGTATCCGATCAAAGTAATTAATTTTTATTGATCTAATACCTTTAAAACACATTTTAATTGCTGTCGATAGGACACTCTGATTAAAATATATCGAATTTTTACCATTAAGTTGATACAAAGTTTAGTTAAAATTGATTTCGCGCTCCAAACTGACAATCAAAATCGCCTATCGCTTAAAGCATTGTTTCTGAGAAAATTGTTGATTCTACACAAAAATGTTAATAAAAATTTTTGTTCAAAATTATTTCATTATCTTAAAAAAATTTTTCTACGGCGTACAGATTCGTCGTAAATCGATTTTTTCCGCCACCCCCTACGAGTGAGTTTTAGAGAGAATCCGGGGGATAGGAGTGGCAAACTTTTTTACATCTCTTTTGGAGTCCCAAAATTGAGATTCTCAGCAAAATTCAGGTTGTCCGTCCAAGAGTCAGAGATCAAATCTCTAACGACTGGATTATTTAAAAATTGTAGATTTCACTATTGGTGGTTGTAGGAGCTAGTTGGTTTCATATGTTATTAATTATTCCACCCTGTAACTTGAAAGATCTTTTGTGTGTATTCTAGATATATGTTTAGTCCAATAGATCTAGGCTTCTGAAAGCACTTCTAGCTTCTCGTATTATCCATTTAGAACAGATATTTGCTACCAAGTCAGGTTTCAAAAAAGGGCCTGCTCCTAATATTTATGACGGTGTCAGCGAATCTCCTTGCTTTAACCTTTTAACTATTGAAAAGGTCTCAGTGAGCTCATTTTGTATTTTGACAGTTAGTGTTGATGATTTCATTGCTGCTTTTATTAGCTAGATGTATTTTTTGGGGATGTTCAAGCTACCTATGCAATATTTTATATAACTTGTGTTTATTAATGGAGTCGTAGGCCTTTTTGAAATCTATGAATCTGTTGTGGACGTCAATATCATATTCCCACGATTTGTTTAGAATTTGTTTCACTATGAATAGCTCGTCAGTTATAGATTTTTCTTTTCTTTTCTCTGTTCAGCATATTTTATCGGCCCTACGTCTTGCATATTCGTAGATTGCTCTTCTGTTTTTGGTTCTTCCTTCCATATATTTCTTGTGTTCTTGATTTATTTTCTGTATGGCCACTTTCTCTTTTGTTTTGCCTATGATCCGCGTAAATCACTTTTCGACCATCGAAGTAAAACACTTCTGTTGTAATTGGTATATTTAAATAAAATTTTAATTAAATATTCAGAATGTGTTAAATGAATAATTGTAACAATAAAACACTGAAAACTTTGTTTTCAAACTTCCACAAAATTTATTTTAAATATTATCACTACAGCTGTTTCGGCTGATTGCCTTTCTCAAGTGATCTATTTTGGCTTGGGTTTACAAATTTATAGTCTCTAATGAAATAGGTTGAGGAGGGGAGAACTGTTTGTCTCAAGTTGGTCATTCAGAATTATATCTGTGTTTTTTAATTTGTTGATTTCCATAGATTCTAACAAAGATAGCTTAAGGCCTTTATTTTGAATGTGAAGAATTTTAAATTTGTCATTAAAAGCGCAATTAAAATTCTTCACATTCAAAATAAAGGCCTTAAGCTATCTGTGTTAGAATCTATGGAAATCAACAAATTAAAAAACACAGATATAATTCTGAATGACCAACTTGAGACAAACAGTTCTCCCCTCCTCAACCTATTTCATTAGAGACTATAAATTTGTAAACCCAAGCCAAAATAAATCACTTGAGAAAGGCAATCAGCCGAAACAGCTGTAGTGATAATATTTATAATAAATTTTGTGGAACTTTGAAAACAAAGTTTTCAGTGTTTTATTGTTACATAAAATGAATTTCCATCAAGTAACGGTCGAATCCATCAATTATTTAAATGAATAATTGATACAATTGCAAGATGCTTGGGACAAATTACAGGAAAAAGATAATAATCAGAGTTCCCTAGAAAATCTTAAAGTCTAAAGAAAGACAATGACTTAAAGTCATACGAAAATGACTTAAAAATGGAGCAAAACCTATTTGGGAAGAAATAACCAAATACAGTTGCACTACAAAAGCGTACTGGACTCAATGGGAATCTCTGTATCTTTCCAATGGTCTATTATATCAGTAGTGGAAAAGCCCCGATGAAGTACGTACAGTTTATTAAGTAGTACTACCAAAATAACACATTACCTTTCTGGGAGACATTTTGGAGTTAAAAAAACACACGTCGTACCAAGACATGAAGTTTCTTTAGAGCTACATTCTGATCAAGGACGAAATTTTGAATTAGAATTGTGGCAAAAATTAATGAAAATCTTGGGTGTTAGAAAACTCGTATTACGCCATTCCATCCGCAATCAAAGGGAATGGTCGAAAGATATAATAGAACTGTTTGTGAATACCTTTCAATGTTTGTCGCTGATAGTCAAAAAGATTATTATACTTTAATTTCTTTATCCCTGTTAGCTTATAGAAGTTGCTAACATAAAGCAATCGGATATTCTCCACTGATCATGTTCACCGGAAGAGAAATGAAGGTTCCTCAAAATCTTATTTTTGAAAGATTGCCTCCCTGCGAAGAAGAAAGTTCATTCCTGACATAGGTATGTCGAAAATTTAAAATAAACGATATGATCTTCTTGTTCTTCTTCTTCCTTGATTGGCTAATATCCCAGGGGATAATTTGCCCAGCTAATACAGGGGGGATATTCTCAACTTGCTGTAGACAATCGAATATCCCACTATAACACTAAATTGAAATTATTTTATATTTAATGAACACTATCTTGAAACTCCTTCTTCTTCTTGGGCCAAACAGTTAGTATAGGAAAGACAATTCAACACAAGATAAAACTTTTCTCGCTTGGGAGTAGCAACCAAGCTGTTGTTGTTTTTTGTTTGTGTTTAAATGACTACGGACACTAAATCCATTCGTCAATCTTACAATTTTTACTCATTTTTTCATTAGTCATTGGTTCGTATACAATCTTATCCTAAATCTATTACTACTATTGGACTCTAATATATAGTCTTTTTTCTATTAGGTGCTTTTTAGTAAAATAAGTGATGAGGTCCTCAAAGCTTCACAGCAAACTCTTCGGCGGCTATCTACTTAATTCAATAGCTACTTTACTGTGGACCTTACAAGTTCCTCATTTTTCTCTTTTTTTTTTATTTTTACCAACCAAGCTGAACACATACCAGAAACGCTACCGACGGATGATAGGCAGAGAACCCAGGTGTACAAAAAGAGAGGAATTTGTAAGGTTATGTTATCGTAGAATATAAAATAGGAATATATATTATAGTTTGATTTTGGCTAGATTAAGAAAAATAATCAACAAATTTAGTCTTTAAGGATTAAGATTGGATTGGAGAGAGCAAATTTCTATAGGAGTTTGTAGTTTTGTTTTAACCAATTATTCATATAGGTAGGTCAAAATTTGGAGAAACTTTGATTGGACACTCTATGATAATATGATTCAAAGATCAAATTTGACCACATTCACAGTATGGATTGTCCCGAATACCTATGGGGAATAAATGAACGGGAGTGGAACAATGTCCTGTTCTCATTCTAATGAATGTGATGATATGCCTTCTGTCTTTATAAGGAAATTGATTGAACCATGGTGATTTGTCCATTTATTGACTATTTTACTATAAAACGACCCTTTTGATCTGTTTGAATTCCATTATTGTGCCCATCGCGTCCAAATTAGCTATTTAATATAAAATAAATAGTTTAAATAATGCAATTTTACTTTGGCTGGCATTTTTAGTGATCTTCCTGTGTTTGCCAATTTGTCTGCAACACAATTGCCCTTAATATCCGAATGCCTTGGAATCCAAGCCAGAATAATACTGATGTTCTGTTGATTGGCTTCTATAATGCCCTTCTTGGTCATGATAAAGGTATGTTCAGTTTCCATTAAGTAAGATGTTTTTCCTATCTTTTTTATAGCACTCTTAAAATCAGACAAGATTAAGGTCCTCTTGATATCCTTCTCCAAGACAAATTAAACCGCATGATTAATTGTAATAATCTCTGCAGTGCAAACTTAAGTCTGCGTAGGAAGTAAATGACTCTGTATCAAACCATTATGAACTATCTGGAGAGTTTTGGGATTACTACCCCAATCTGTTCCATATAGAGCTCTCATTACACTCAAGCTACGACTT